CTCATTATTGTTTATCCGACTAAAATTAAGTTGTATGTTGAAGTTTGAATATTTCTTTGTAACAAATTCATTCCGTTACGTTAAATGTATCCAAAGACTGGATCTTCATTCTCTCACACCATCTGGTAAAGATTCTTTGCTCACTGATCCCAACTGAATTCAGTTTTATTTCTATAAGTGAAATTCATTGACTGGAATTCGTTGAATTGCGCCATTCGGAGAGCTTCTGCTGTCGACTCCTCGAGGACTCGACTATTGTGCAGTCTATTGTTTGCAAGACAATCAGCATAATAAGAATACAGTAAGAACCTGTTCCACATCGCTACTGTATTCTTTTTTCCACTGTGTCGCCGCAACGAAAGCACCGACTAGAATCGCGATTGGACCAGTTGAATCGAAACCAAGTGTTTCACAGCCAAACAACGCTAGCAATGCAAGCTGCCCCAGTACGGCCAAACGTGCAAAGTGGACATTTTTGGAACTTTTCTCCGGTATGTACCACATCAGAAATCCTAAACCAAACGTTGAAACAAATATGATCTTTGATACCAACTGTTTGCTTTGAATGCCATAAATTTCAGTCACCAAAATAACAAGATAAGTGAATCGTAGACATGATATCGCTTTAACGTAATGGATCGTTTTAAAAGAGCTGCTTGATGGAATATCACCAAAACTATCACATATCCAAGAGAGCATTCTCATGAAACGCTTAAGATATTCATTTCTGAGTGACAAGTATGCTGCGATTATTCAAATGCAATTTACAGAAATTGATCAATATCGGAAATGTGCATGCCATTTGTGATGATCATGGAATCGTTCGTAATATTAAATTAACAAACATTCAAAAAACTTGCCAATGAGAACACCGAAAATCCCTCCAGCAACTACTTCGATAGGAGCACTTATAATTGTTCGAAGAACACTCCCTAAAAATGCATATCCATTTCTCGAATGCACAGCATACGATATCCTTGACATATCATAAGTTCCATATATACTGGGGTTCAGCATTTCAACGTTCGGTGCGGTTTAGATGATGGGAATACCGGTGAATTGGATTGTTAGACGGTTACTTTCATGAAACTGACATGAAGAAGAAACGAACTAGCGATATAATTACTTGAAACATCTCGCTCATGCCTATGTGCAAGGAAAAATAAAGGAAATCAGATTGAGGAGCTCGAAGCGACAGCANCATACGATATCCTTGACATATCATAAGTTCCATATATACTGGGGTTCAGCATTTCAACGTTNTCTCTACGATCAATTCACCATATCATGAAGATATATTCAACACTCGTACAACACTGCAAATAGAAGTATTTCGATCTGAACGAGTGAAGAAGTATTACGATCGCTAATTGAACCATTCATGTATTCAGTAGGGCGTGGATCGGATATAGATGAATAGATGGAATAGGATGAAACCTTTGGAGAAGGCCACTGAGAGCAGTGCGCTGAATCCGGTAATCGCATAGACATCATCCACACTCGCAGCTGCTATCACCAGGGTTGGCACTCCGGATGCGACACCGTAATTTTTGGATGTTATGTGCAACATCGCCGGCACTATGACAGCCGGTGAGACTGCAGCTAGTACAAATCTAGAAAGATTGTGATCATTATCGATAGTTCATCTGTGATTTGTGATCAGTTATGTTCACGGCAAGCATCATATGATTGCTTAAGAGTTAAAGTGGCAAATTCTGTTGTTCATTCTCAATGCGTTTTTAAGAACGCTCAAAAAATGACGATCACCAATGAAGCCGAATACTGAGTGCCTTCTTTAATTATCAAGTATTTGCATTTGCATACCCAAGTAATAGTCCGAATATCCATGGAAGATCAAGAAGAAAGTATGCGCTAATCGCCACAAATATTGCTTCGATAGTGCACGGCATTACGGCCAGCCAAACGCATGCACCCTGAAATTTGGTGAGTTTAAGAACTTTACACGAAATTCATAGTTCATATCAGAATGAATTTATGGGATTGAAAAGTCGAATTCAAATCACTAGACAAAACTATTTCATTTGTCTGCGCACCCTAGTGTTAGTTTACCGTGATTTCATCATTGATAAAAGTTATTTGCTAATAACATCGAAAAAAAATGTCCTGTATTATCATCGTACTATCAATTTAGCAACATACTATCAAGCAGATAGCAACTGAACACTTTACTCATTTTCCGATGTAACATTCTGCTTTTCTGATTAATTTTCTGTCAAAATCTCTCAGACTGGAAATTCCCCTAAAGAATTCTAAACGAAACAAGGTGATTCTCCATTGTTTCATGCTGGAAGTTCTTCAGTTATTGCATTCGGGATTATCTATGAACATTCAGCTGTATGTAACACAAGTGATCACTCTTTTCACCGGAAATCAATCGATTCGACTCTATCTGATACCAAAATATCCCTTCGTACTCGTTCTAACTGCAATTATGCATTGGAAAATCGAAAAAAAACTGGAAATTTGATTGCTTCGAATTCAGCTAGTTAAAACAAACGAGCGAAACACCTTCAATTTACGCAATGCATTCGCATCCAAACCAAGACCGCCTCTCAACAAGATCACCACAAATGCCGCTTTTCGCAAGAAACTACCCCATCGTTTCACCACAAACAAATCCACAAATCCGGCGTTTCGGAAGACGATACCCGCAATTAGCATACCTAAAGTAGCAGGTGATCATTAATTGCAGCCACATAGATCATATAAGTCGCTTCCAGAAGGATAATGCTCTCTGCCTGATTCGTCTTTGTCCAGTTTTGCTTTTAGATCTATCATCATACGATGAAACTTTTCGAGTTCAGTGAATCAATGCCATTACCACTTAATATNGTTTGTAAAAACTTCCCAAAAAATTATCAGACCTAATGCAGTCCATTATTATTCTTATAAAAAACTAAACTTCCTATGCTAATGCCCTAGTCATTTAATTAATGTACGCAAAATGTCGTCAGTTGTGGTTCAGCAAAGTGTACTCATCGTAGAAGAAAAGAATTGATGCACTCTCAATAGTGTAATCCATCATCATTCTATTTTGAAAAGTAATTAAAATATATGAAATGTTCCATAATGCTACATAGGAATACTGGGCTTAAGTAAAATCCCCTTCAGGCTCAAGAAAAATAGCGAACATTTTTTTTCTAAAGTAATGATTAGTCATACAGCTGATGACTATTTATAGAGTATGGATGAAGGTGCTAGAGTAATGTGAACAAAAATCTAAGGAATTACCAAGCAGAGGCGGTAGACGGCACAAGTCGACCAGGTATCCAAATACAATTGATCCGATCAGCATGACTATCAGCGAGAAGACTGAGGCTATATAATTCTAAAGATCAACATTTTTTTTTGCCTGATTACTGTCATAATTCTGGAGAAATTCCATCATCTCAAGATCTGATTACATCTCAAGAGATTTTTCAACGTCCACGTTTTAAACTTGTGATTTATCACCAAGACCAAAGAGTTATCAAACTTGAAACAGAGCGATTACATGGACGCTCTCAAGGTGGAAGTATTATCACACACAAAAACTATTTTCATGGCGTATTTTTGAGCACTGAAAAGTTGAAACAATTTTTGATCAAACGTTG